CTAAATACTGTTCCGAGATAAAAAAATTACTTATTGCACTTTACCGTTTAAGCTTGTTACACAGAAAATTACATATAAAAAATGCTATCCATGTCGGAAAAATTTATTGGATAAAGCGCTGAACACAATTAATGCATTTGCATCGTTGCATCGTGCACTTAAATCTTAAAGTATGACTTGATTGTACGGAAAAAAAAAAAGAAATTCTGCAGCATGCACGAAGCAAAGTGCCTTCACTGTGTTTAGCGTTTAACGCTTTTGCTGCAAAAATGATGTCGCATGCATGAATCGTAGCAATACTCGTCGTCAGTTTCATATAACTATACGTCATGAGTATATACACTGGTAGCTCATAGTAACGAGAAAAGCATTTAATTAGAACTTCAATTAAGATGAGATCGTTTGCCGTCGTGCGTACTTCTGTTCAATTATCTGCTGTTACGGAAACGTAATTTAACGTCTCGAAAGTTAGACCGTTAGATCTTGAAAGTTTGAAATTAGGAGAAAGAGAATTTTGAGTTCTGAAGTGAGCCCACATCAATTCAAACCCATCGATTTCTACAGAATGAAATTTGTTAAGTTTTTCTTTTTTTTTAAGCAAAGTCCTTTATTTCCTTTCAATGATTGATTATATGTAGTCGATTACTGAAGCTTGTTGTAAATCTTCCTTTTGTTTTGGGGGAATTTTTTCCACATGGAAACCAAGCGGGTGGCTTTCAACAATAGGAAACGAATTTTCATATGTTGTGATTGGAGAGAATTTTTTCCGTATGGTTGCAGCATCTAAGTAGCAAAAAACAAACAAAGAATGCATTTGATATCTATTAAGAATAGTGTTCCGGTTTTCAAGCTAGATCCTTGTTGTATCACGAAAGTTTTCTTTACTTCATATATATATACTGGGTTAACAGATAATCTTATTTTTTCTTCTTGCTTCGCTATAGCGGTATGGACGCATTCTATTGCGCGATGCGTCTTTCAGATCAAAATTTCCATTTGCAAACTTGCCATACCAAACCCGGGCGGCTGTTTCTATCTATCGCATCCACTTCATACAGCAAGCACAAATATCGCGAGCAAGTTGCGGCCTTAGAATTTTAATTAAAAGAAGGAGGTATCGAAACTGCAAACTTTTCTCAATATGACATTCTACTGATTGAATGAAAAAACAAACAGCATCGTGTTTCGAATTATTTGAGCCATTATGCTAAAAACACTAAATGGTAAGCGGAACGTTAAAATTTAAAGAAACAACGAGAGACGAGAGACGAGAGTGCATGAATAGAACAAATTACTGATCAGAAATCTATACCTTTTATGAAAAGTCTTTTGTTTTGGATGTTGAATGCAAGCGCGAAGAATCTGCATAATGCGACATCAAATTTGAATTCTCAGGCACATCACTGCACATTGAAGCCATACAATTTTATTTGCTTTGGAGACTTCTTCGCTTAACATCTGTATTTGAAGCGTGCTTATGAATTTCGTATACATTCCAGTTATTAGATATTGCCGTCACATGCCATCGGAGAGTTTGTTTAGCTCAGAGCTATTAGAGCGCTTAAGTGTAGATAGATGTAGGTTTTAATAAAGTAGAATTTATACATATGAGAGATATTAAGATATTTATACAAAGAACAAGCAGAGAAAACAATATTTTTGGCTGGAGTCGAATCTCGCATACCCATCAACATTAAAATCTTTGGTCAAAAAAAAAAAAAAGATGAATGGGACAAAATTTATCTTTCACCCATGACTTACTACTTTCCTGAAACGTATTGTTAAGAAAAATTAATCTACCACTATCGGGACGTCCACCATATCTAATTTAAAATTAACACGCTTAGCTTGTCGCATTCTACTCTCCAAGTGCTTTTATTTGATATCCATTGACGAATTTCACGCTGATACCTCCATGCTTTAAAGCCTCAATTCTTTAAAGCATTCACGATGTCCATGCAATCGCATCAATCGCATAAATTGGAATTAGCATTCGATGTTAATTCAAAATCGGAAAGCGCTTATAAGTGCTGACGTGCGAATGGACGATAAACGAGTCTTTGTTAAAAAACTAAAAGTTAGCTAAGAACAATTAACTGATAATTCGGATCCATAAGATAATCGGATTTGAGCTCTCTTGAGCTCCAACAGAGAAATCATTTCCAGTATGTACGCTAAGTGGTTAAGTAGGTCACAATAATTAACTGTTCTCACGAGACCGGAAATCTTTTCTTAACTCTTACATAATACTTTCTCTGAGAACATCCTTAAAAAGAAGTCCTTTAGCGACTTACGATTACCTTAAAGTTCCTATCAAGTGCATGCACACACACACACACACACATACACAATGAATTTTTTGCAACCATCTAATGCATGGTACGTACGTTTTAATATTGTGTAAATTTATTCATTTTTTGTGTACCAATGCACCATGACTGGTGTGAATTCTTCGAAAGGTTATAAATTAGCATGCATAGCAATCGCCGGTGCTATAGTTTTGTTTATTGCGATAACAAAATATTTTTTTTTTTCTTCTTTTTTGTATGAAAAAAAAGTGAAAGCATTAAAAATCATTCTAATTGCGAGACTTAACAGTATTTTATTTATATTCACTACAAATACAATAAAATGGGAATCGGATTAAGTAACAATATTATAATTGGGCAAGTCCAACCGTTAAATGCCCTTGAGAATGCAAAGTCCTCACATATTTTCTCAATAAAATAGCAATAAAGGATATGATGTGACCATGTAAAAGCATAACAGGCAGTGCAACTTGCTCGGATCCAAGTTTAATCAATTTTATTTTCTTGTCAAAAAACCTGTTATTTTTCAACTGTCACTTCATAATTGCAAAACTTGCACTTTATTGCCAGATAGGGGGCTATATTTCATACGAACGTTTATAAGGGATTGAGTTGAAAAAATTGCTATTATGTAATCGTTAAATAGAAGCGGCTTCAAAGCACTCGCCTATTTCATCGAAATTTTTCAAATATATTCAATACGTGCACCGACTTACTTTTACTTAGCGGGTTTTTGTCGAGAAGTTTTTAGATTTGCAATTTTTTTTTTTTTTTTTT